AGTGTAATACAGTAACTCATGAGACTATTTCAAGCACATATGAGTAAATATATATATGGCACAAACGAGTTTCAAGCTAGTCTGAGTAAATCCTTTGTTCTGTATGAAACATTCACAGAGTTGTTTGGCAGTTTCAAGGTTTCATTTCTGTAAAGCCTCACTAAGTTTCTGAAGGCTTTTTCTAGTGGGGTGCCAGATTGTCACCCTGGGGTGCCAGATTGTCACCCTGGGGTGCCAGATTGTCACCCTGGGGTGCCAGATTGTCACCCTGAGCCTCTGAAAGGGGGCCAGGGTGTGGCTGTGGTCCCCAGTGGGCCAAACACACCACCATAACTGGTGTGACTGTTAGTGTGGGAACAACCTCTGCAAGATAGCTTCAGGTAGCTCCTTCCAGAAAGTGACTAGGATTACTGCAAAGTAATGAAACTAACATTTTGAATTAATGTGACATGTTTTGGGTAAATCTAGATTATGTTCTTGAATGGCAGAATTACCTTTTGACCCGTTTCATTTAAGTTTAATTTAACGCCAGAAGAACCACGAGACGTTTGGGATAATCATATTAAACTGCTCTTCCCTGTCACACAATTGCATGTTCAAATAATTAGAGGAAGGTTAGTCATGTAATGACCTCAAAACACATACTCATGCATATACTTTGAAAATTCTTTTACAAGATTTACAAGAAATGACTACAAAGGTTAACATTTAAAGAAACTAACAACTTTCTAATTATCTTCTGTAATGGGAAATTTTTGTTGGCCGGTAATAGGGATCAGCTATTACAAAATCATTTTAGATATTTGTGAAGTATTTTTAGTATTCAAAATTAAATTTAACTTTTATTTCAAAAACCTCAGTCACATGACAAGATGGATAGGTTTTACAAATTATCCACACAAGAGTCCGCAGATCAACTTGAAATAATAATTTCCCAGGTTGGAAGAACATTTTCCATATTACATACGCAAAATGTTTGCTTTAATATTTACTGTTAAGGCCAATGACAAGTCAGGGATCAAAATAATGTGCGATTCAGACCATTTCAACAAAGTAATGCACTGTCCTATTATGTTATACACTACCTGCACAATATTTAATGGCACTGGTGAATAATAAATATGAGCAAAATGCTCCAAAAATATTTGAAAACCAATAAAAACAAAAACATTTACTTCAAATAAACTACAGTACAGCATTATGAAGAATTCATTATAGTACTGTACTAGTATTTCTAATATAAAATCTCTATCTACTCACTATAAGGCTGCTACTACTTGTATAACTAAAATCAAATTCCTATCATTTTCTCCTCTATTGTCTTGCTAAATGTTTATTATTAGATACATGATTAGACAAAACAATTAGTGTGAGCATACTCAACACTGCCACACACACGGCTACTAACACTACAGCCGGAGCCCGACAGCTAGAGTTAGTAGGTCACTTCTGATCACACAAGCACAAAAGGCAGCTATTGAGTAACAATCCAACTACAGTACTCTATAAAGAACAGGGAACATTTTCAGTGGGTTTTATACATGTCTACAACATGCCTTTATAGTGTTTGACTGGAAGAACAGAGGAACACACACACACACACACTTTCCAAAAGATAACCTACACATGTGTCTCCTGGCAAATTGTACCATACTACAGTCAAGTCTCTCAAATCCAAAATGCTCGGGAATAAGGCATTATAAATTCTGGAAAACTGTCTACTTCCTCCCAACTTTGTACATTAAAACTTACCGATGGACAAATTGAAAGTGTTTGTAAATCAATCTGAAAGTGTTTTGTAAATCCATCAAAGTTTGCAACACAGAGAAAGTGTTGTAAATCCAAGAAACGGTAGTCAATGGACAGGAATAAAAAAGCCAACACTTAGCATTACGAAACACCTTTTTCCTCGACTTTTTAGTGGGTCTTTGGTACTGGCTCTCTGGAGAGCTCCACCCATATACAGTCTATGCCAGGCCTCTGCAAGTCATTGTAAGACTACCACAGGCCAAAACCTGGCCCACCTGTAAACAGATAGCTAGACCTATCCATCCATCTTTTGGTCCATCTATCTATTGGTCTATCTATCCATCCATCTATTTATCTTTCTCCATCTATCCACCCATTTATAAGTCTATTCTTCTATCCATCCATCTTACAATCAATATATCTATTTATCTGTCTGTGTCTGTGTGTGTGTCTATCCACTTTCCATCTACCGATCTTACTATCCATCAGTCTGTGCAGCCAGATATCCAACTAGCTTTCTGCCTATCTACTGTATCTGTCTCTGCCCCTCTCTATCTCTCTCTCTCTCTCTCTCATGGAAGACAATTCGCTAATGTGTGGGCACTTAGCAATGAGAGGAGCTCAGCGGTGTAAAATAATAAAAAAGAATAGTTACCGTTTACTCTGGTAAAGAGTAAACTTTCAGAAAAAAACCTTAGATGCTGTGAAAGTATTGTCTGTTTTATGCGAGTATGGGCAAATTACTGAAAGCAGAAAATCTCCAATTAATTTTCCCAAGATCACCAAATAATGGTGATATTACTACTAGAAACAAATTTGTGAAATGTTTGTTTTACAAATATTTTGCTGTGTAGCTGTCTGGCAGTGCTAAGCATTTTTGTGGGAGACTGAATGTGGCACTAACATACTGATCCATTCTGAATTCAGGCGATCTCGACCAGCCTATGTAAATCCCATACCCCAGACCATTCCCTCTGCCAATTTGGGTGAGGTTAGCCGCAACCATGTAGCCTCCATCTTTGAATAGAAACTCCATCTCTCATTCTCTATAAAGCCAGACCTAATGGGGCCAGTGACTCCAAGGATGAATGTATCAAGCTCCCTTGGCACAAAAGTAAACACCACATGGGATACTGGGAAGCCTACAAATCAAGATTTGAGTGTGTATGTAAAGCACCTTTCTTAACATTAAACTTGAATGCTCCCTTCTCAAGTCTTGCATGTGCCAAGTAGGGTTTCTTCTTAGCTTGAGGTTCAGGAGGAATGTGGGTGTGAGAGTTGGAAGACTTTGGTGGTCCAGCCACCTGGTTGGTAGTAGTTAGGGGGTAGTGATCTAACAGGTTGCTTAATAATTAGCTAGAACATGGTTTGGCAGCCTCTTGGATGCCAAGCTGTGCCTTCAACGACTTTTGAGTTATGTACTGGATTTTTCTGTCTACATTCTGGGCTATATTCCAGTCTTCCCAAAGAATTTGTATCATCTGGCAGGGACAGTTTGGCAGCTTTCAGGGTTCACCAGTGTGGCATATCAACCTGTTGTGACTGCACCAGATCCTAACCAGAGATCAGTAAGCATAAACTGCTCAGTACTGCTCAGAAAGGAGCTTTTTATATGCACTCAAAGCTTGTTTGTAATTTTCATCTATGAATATTTAGTTATATTACTTAATCAAAAGGGTCAAATAGATAAATCAATTTAATTTTGGAAAATATAATTTATAATTGTAGAGACTTGACTGTGCTAGACTTTTTAACTAAATGTCTGGTAAAGCATAATAAGCATTGTTGCGAAGAAGAATTTTTGTATCGGGGTCTTACAAGTAGCAAAGCTTTAATCAACTGTTCTACTTGTTGTCAAAGCCACTTTAAGTATGATATGCAATAAGAAAATTCACAATACTCACTTGTGCACGTTGACTTAAGATGCATGCGTAATAATCTACATTATCTATACACTAGTTTTCATTATTTAACTAAAAAAATTCCATCTAAACGTGAAGATATTTTTACCCAGATAAAAAAAGGTTGATAATACTTAAGGCTTAAGGACTAAAGCAAAGTAGTACGTATGAAGCTAATAATTAAGGAACTACTCTATGTACCAGCAAACGGCACACAAATCTGTCAACTTAAAAGGCTAACGTGTAATACCCAACAGGATTTCTTTCGAATTCGGGCTTGATTTTTAAGTAACAGCTGTGACAACTAGAGACAGAATATGCTTAAGGAAGTCCTTGAGTTAGGAGGTACAATAATAGTCGAAATGCTGATGAAATGAGTAGTATAACCTTACCAAATTTCCAATGTTTCCCAATTATTTTCTTCACTTCTAGGAATGGAAGTACCCACAAATCAAAAACATTTAGCTCAAAGCTAGTCTGGTGCAAGATACACAATGGCAGCAGCTCTAATCATGATCCAGAGTAAATACAATCACCAGTAGTTAACTTATCCTACTGTAAATTAAATTAATAATTTAGACTTCCCACGTTACGTTCATAGCAATATTATCACAAAATTTGTTCTATACGTCCGAATACAACTGACAGATTATTATACGACACTTGCATGGTAGCCATGCAGTGTTAAAACCCCCAAACCAATGTTTACAGCTTGAGAGGATGCCAGTGTGGAAGCTACATACTAATAAATGATGTAATCTGACTTTTTATCGGCTAAATTGAATATTTCTTAAGTTATTTAAAAGTAAAGCATACATTTTTCAAGTTCTGCAGCACTAAAAGGCTACTAAGAATTGAGCCTCTGATGCTATCAAGGGAACTGAACCATATCTCCATGTACTTTACCAACCTCTAAACTTTACCGTCAGAATATTTTTTGAAATGTTGATCTGGCTCAAACCTCTTGATTGCACCTTTTCAGCTAATGCACTAAAAAAAAAAATGATCATCCTAGTCATGCACAACATATATACTCAAATATGTAAAAAATACTGACATGCCAAGCTTATTCACAAAGCCAAGAGTGTTCTCTTTACCTGAGTAATGAGCCTTAAAGGCTGGAAAAGACCTAGAGTAAATGTATATATCAACAGAAGGCAATATGGTCTGTCATTAATAACAACTTTAAAATAGTTTGTTTCATGAAGAAATTCAGTTTTCAACCCCATATTTGGCAATTTAAAAGTTAAAAAAAATATGAGAACCTGGACATAAAAAGTAAAATATAATATAAATCAGCCGGAGTTGAAAACTGAAGTGTGGCTTTGTGAGGCTGTGCTGCTGCATTACCTGCCATGCTAATGAGTAACTGGTGGAAGTGCTCTAGTTCAGGAGAGAGGGAGTCCACACAGGCAGTGGCATGCACCGGGGGACTTCCTCCACCAACCTGCGCCGCGTCTCTCCTGGGGGACACTGCTCCCCCTTCCACTGCTGGGGCAACTGGGGTTTCAGATCCCCCACCTGAGCCCCCTGGACCCACACCAACTACTGTTTGACCACTGCCTCCACCCGAGCCTACCGACTGGCTTCCACTAGCCGCCGTCTTTGATATGGTGATGCCAAATTTCACCGTCTGTGGCCCCACCTTTTGTGGTTTAACCTCTACACTGATGGGTGATCCAGGCTCTATTGACAAGCCTTGACCCCCTGCCCCCACACGAGTCACCAGATCTTTTTTAGGTGGCACTGCTGGTTTATTAGGGGGCACTGGAGGAGCTGCTGCTGGCTTGTTTAAAGGAACAGGTGGTGGGGGTGCCCCAGGCTGAGTAGATCTAGCAGGGGGAGGTGGTTTCTTAATCATTGTTGAAGTTTGTTGGAGGACTTGCTGTTGCTGACCATTAGGTGCAGATGAAGCTGCAGTAGCTGTGGTTGTGGGTGCATTTGTGGTTACATGAAAGGTCACCTTTCCCCCATGTGTTGTAGTGATTACTTTTGTGCCAGGGGAGGCCGAAACATTCACCCTTGGAGTCACTTGCACCACCTGGGCCTGGCTTCGCACATCCCCAGGTCCTGTGACTCTTACCACTCCACGTTCTACTGTGCCTGACACTCCACCAGGTAAACTGGAGGGGCCCTCACCTTCACCACTGCCCGTCCAGCCACCCTCATTCTCACTTACGCTGAAATCAAAACAATTTATAAGAATAATATCGTAGAAAAGAAATATAAATTATAATCACTGTTGATGCACATATTATTTATCACAAGATAAAAAAGGTATGAAATGTTCACTTCTAAATCAATTTTGTACAGCAGAGCAAAATATTTTAAAGAGGAGAAGAAATGTTCATAAAGACAAAATAAAAAATAAAAAAGAATGCTGGGACAATGATCTCTTAATAAAGAGCAAACATCGGTGAGTTACTCTCCATGACTGAAGCCACATAGAATATAAAATGCCAACATACCGTGGCTATAGTCTTGTGTCTGCTGCTGGCTGCCGGGACACAACTCTGGTCAATGCTCAAGTGATACAACCAACCAACATGGGTCTAACACACATCCTAAGTCAGCCGCAAGTCTTGTCAAGAGTAAATAACAATAAGTATGGTGTGGCTAAGATAAGCACGAGTGAAATGTGGCACCTCGATATGATAAAAAATTCTACGACACTTCAAAAGTATATCTACCTTATAGAATGCCACCCTAAGCACCACAATAAACATGCAGCAGACATCTTTGGTAGTATTCCAAAGTCATTAAGAGGCAGGTGACATCAGAAAGAATGCAACATTAACAATGAAATAATGCACCAGAGTGCAATGCAAACACTGTCTACAATACAGCCCAGCGGCATGTAACACATGGCATGGATTTCAGTGACTGTTTGTATTTAACAAACCACCGAATTTATTGCAATGCATCGGTGTCGGGAGCATTTTCCCGAGATCAATGACATACTAATAAATTCGTGGCTCGATTTATACAAACATACACAAAACTTTATTGCCACTCTACAAAAGTACTCACCTATAGCTCTTAGCTGCTGTCGTTACAGTCCTTGTGACCTCAGAAGTTGACACACTGTACATGACTGGCCGTATTCCAACACCCGGCTGAACCCCACGAGCAATACCAGTAGCTTTAAATGAAAAACAAAACAAGGATTGTACTAATAAGTAACTGTGTCTATTCACACATCTTTCTAGTCACAAATCCTCAACATTGCACTTTACAATCCATATTTACTCAGCCATTTCTTTCACATTAAACAGAATTTCTATCAATAATCTGTTAACAATATCACTGGAGATTCTTGCCTAGTGGACATTTCATACAAACAGCACCACTGTATGCTCATCTTCCTGCACATTCCTGTGTTTTATATTTACTGTGCTGACCTAGTTGCATTTACTAGAAATGAGATCAAGCTCTAGAGCACTGCCTCATTACTATTATACCGGTGCATTTATATCTGCCAATGCATAGTACATGCTCGTACTTGCTCTAGGAACTGTGAATGGCGGTCACTTCCCATAAATTTGGCAAAGTAACGCTCAAGTTCAAGGGCAGTTTAGTCTTCAACCAGTTCCTGCCTCAAAAAACACTCACTCAGGGAGCTTATCAAGTTCAAAGTGTATACTGGTAAGGAAGATACAGCTATGGAGAAGGGTTTCATAGGGAACAACCTTCCAAGAGAAGGGCGAAAAAAATTTGTTCAAAAAGTCTTTGATGGATAATTACTATTCTAATATTTACCTGTGTAATATGCCTAGGTAATTAACACAGGTAAACGTGGCAGTGTAATAGTGAAGCTAACCTGCCTACTTGAAACAAGTATTTAAACAAGGAAAGTGGGTGAGCTGCCAACAATGCAAGAGACAATATTACCCTGTACCTAACAGGACACAAGAAAATGAATATACTGTCAATTATAGGGAACAGCAGTAAATCTTAAATTGAAATAAAGTCAAAACTGGGAGAGAGATCTGTGGACAAAAAGTGTACAGGTAATCTACAATGCATTCATAGGCTACACATATTCAATCTACCATTTCGACCAAACATCCCTAAAAGTGTACGTGACAACACTGAAGTTGCCTTTGTAAATTCACCAAGTGAATACAATATTCAAAACCCTGTAAAGAATTCAAGCCAAAAATATTCCAGAAAATAGATGAATCTCAGGAAGGAGTTCTAGGATTACATATAATTCCCTTTGTTTAATTTAATGGCATTTGTCTATACAGTTTGATGATAAATATTATAAACCAAATTGCATAGTCAGTTCAATACTGCTAGTGCAGTGTTTAACCCTTCAACTGTGCATCACAATCTGGCATGTGCTCACTATTATTCCTTAAACTGCGCATCACAATCAGGGATGCATTAAAGTACTGCACAAGATTTAGAGATCTTGCTAGTACTTGCTAGTACTAGAGTTCCCATCTGCTTCCCCAGGTCTCCAGTAAACACGTCATCTTAGCAAGATAATCGTGGACACCCCTGCTGAACGTGAAGGCTTCGGTGCTCAGACAGCAACCATAAGCAGTGCATGCAGCAGCAACTATATATACATTTTGTCCTTAAACCATTTAAAAAATTGCAAAGTATGCAAATATGTGGTATTAGTTTCTTGTTACATATTTACTATTATTTTGGGCTAGCAACTCATAGCACTGCCATGCAGCTTTTGCCAATAGGATCACTTAATGATGATGATGATGATGATGATGATAATATAAATAAAATACTGGTGGCACTGTTCACAGCACGAGGCAGACACACACACACACACACACACACACACACACACACACACACACACACACACACACACACACACACACACACACACACACACACACACACACACACAGCCTCAGGAACCTGTACACCTGCTGATTGACGGTTGAGAGGCGGGACCAAAGAGCCAGAGCTCAACCCCCGCAAGCACAACTAGGTGAGTACAACTAGGTGAGTACAGCCAGTTTGGTACGTGCACGCATTATGCAACAGGACCTCACATTCCTTTATAAAATGAACATTTGAAAAATAATTCATATTCAGGATTTATAAATCTCTATACAGTAAGTTAGAAACATTATAGAGTATTTGCATAAAAAAAAAGGAAGCATTTTGGGTTTTCTTTTTCACCTAATGCACACAAAGTTTGAATAAAATTGTATACCTAGTAATGAGCAACTGGTTTGACCAAGCAGGTGAACAGGCAGTCACTTTACCGTTACCTGTGAACCTAAGTGAGAGTTTGGCAAGGCTTCGAGTCTTTAGGAATGTTCTGCTGAAGAGTGTTACGAGCCACACTGAACTGATCTCACGTGACTTCCTAGCACCTTCGATGACCCTGAAGGCACATCTGAACGGTTCCCTGTAGCACCAGCGCCCATAATGTCATCCTATCTGACTAACAGGAGATACTTACCTTGGCGAGCAATCAAGTGCTCTGGTCAGAAATGTGCATTTCATATACTGAAGAGTCAAAACTTCCTGTTTATTTATTAACAATTGCTGTTATTTATAGAGTGGTTATCATTCAGACAGTGCCTATCACCTCATACAATGGCTCTTATTTATGGTCAATGATGCCATTTCTAAACAAAGCCTGTTATTTATTTTGATTCAATTTATTGACAATTGATATTGTAAATTAACAGACATTGAATATCAATTATAAATAATGGATATAATTTACAGATAGCAGATATCACTTATAGATAATGGTAATCATTTACACAGTGGATATCAATCATAGATGACGGCTATCACTTACAGTGGATAACAATTACAGATAATGGCTATTATTTCAAAGTGCTATTTACCTGTTCTCAACTATTATAAAATTTCAACCACTCTGGTTTTCCTGTATACAAAATAAAGTACTTGCAAAAGCTACAGATAGTAGGGGGAAAGGGTGATTGTGACAAAATTAGCAATCGAGTTTATGATAGCAAAGATTATCACAATGTTATATCCAAAGCATGACTCAAGACTATGCATTGTAAAAGTGAATTGTGTATGAAATTAACAATGGTAAGTTTCACTAACAAATCAATGTGGAATCAAGCAAATAAAATAAGTTTTCAGCTTTATTAGTAGTGAACACCATAAAAAAACTTCTAATACGGTGTCACGAATCTATTACGAAGAACAAAAAAAAATGATTACAAGTGCAATGACTCGCACAAATAAATGATAACACAAGACATTATTGACGTACTTGGGCCAGCAACAGGAACAGAGTTTACAGTGGCAGTGAGCTGAACAGCCTTAGTGACACTACTCATGGCAGCAACACCTGCAGCAACATTATGAGGTGGATTGCTAACTCCTCCAGTAGAATGGCACCCAGCAGAAACATGGTGTTGAGCTACATTCATTCCTAAGTTCAGCGGAACGCCAGTGACTTCGTCAATCCCCGGAGACGATGCTCTCACACGAGGTGTTATCTTGGGAGGAGTTAAAGCACCTAAAGGGGGAAAAAATAAATGGGGCCAGACCTTCCCAGTGTTATGCTCTTTACTTGTGCACCCTAGTTTCAATTAGAAATTTAAACTTTAAGTATTCAAACAGTCCTGGATCCCATATGAGACTGAAGTCTTTAAGAAGGAAATAAACAAGTTTCTACAGGAAGTACCTGATCAGTCAGGTTATATGATGACTATGCTGGCCCATAGGCCATGATCAGCAAAAGCCTCACTGATCAGGTTGTCACCAAGGAACCCTAGCCTCAGATGAGACTGACAGTGGAAAATTCTCTAAACCAGGCACTGGTAAAACACCATATATATCCCGTAACAAAGGAGATGAAGGTTGGACTCGGGACCAGTTGTATCCCCCTAAAGTCGCAAAACTGAGGAAAGGGGTAATGATTGATGGATGAATGAATGCATATTTGTATAACTCAGACATACTGGACTATAATTTGTAAATTAACCTAATGACTAAATGAACAAATGCTTATGACAACAGTACATTACACTATTCACTTTAACCAGTGCATTTGATATTCACTTATCTTTTCAATCTTATGAAATATATATAGTCTTATATAGTCTTATTAGTAATATATAGTCTTATTAAATGTACAACACAAGTAATGGCTTCCTCCTTGCCTCTGTCATGGTAAACATTTTAACTGATATATCACTTATTCACCCTTCCACCCAACTTGCCTGAAAACCTCACTAACTAAACCTACATATGGATTTCCTACCTTTGCAACACAAACTTCCATTTGAATAAAACTTTAAAAATTTGAACCACATGACAAAGAACACCAAAATTTTGCACATTATATTTTATAAAATGCTAAGACTTAAAACAGTCCAGAATTATAAAAAAAAATGTAGTGTAAATATAAAAAAGGAACATGTAAACCATTAACTGCTCTAGGAAATAAAGCAAAAATTATATCACTTTAGCTATTCTTAATGGTCTCCAACTACAACCAGTACAGTACTATGACTGCATATACAGTAATAATAAAATAGCCTGAAATATGCTTTGCACAAATTTGTCTTAAATATGCAGGCGATGAGTCACAATAACGTGGCTAAAGTATGTTGACCAGACCACACACTAGAAGGTGAAGGGACGACATTGTTTCGGTCCGTCCTGGAACATTCTCAAGTCGATTGTGACATTCTCACGTCACAATAGACTTGAGAATGGTCCAGGACGGACCGAAACCTCGTCGTCCCTTCACCTTCTAGTGTGTGGTCTGGTCAACTTGTCTTAAATATATTGGTGACAATAAGAGGGTGATTTACTGTTATTGCTTGGCCTGAACTAAGGCTTCCATAGCCACTGATTATCCAGCCCACTGCTACCAGTTTGCTAAGTCAAAACAAACTTATCATTAAGAGTGTACACTGACCAGGCATCCTAGGTTGAGGTTGAGTGAGGGTAGCAGGTTTAGCAGGCAGTTGTGGAGGGGCAGGACGCGTGGCGATTCCTATGCGTGGTGGGGATACTGAGAGCGTCTGCTGGAACATGGCTACATTGTGTGCTTCTTGTAACTGTTTTTTATAATGATCAACTTCTCGTTGCTGCTTCTCTAGCAAAGCCTCCAGTTCACTTATCCTGTAACGAGTAACAGTAATTTTGTAAACAAGGGAAGGTTAGAAGGAAAAAGAAAAGTTTCATCTAAATATTATGGAAACACTACACTATTTAATCTTTCAAATTCCCATACAATAATGCATCAACTGCTTAGCTTTGTGTTCCAGTGCAATGATAGTGTAATCTGATTAAAAAAATAAAAAAATAAAAAAATCCACTAACCATCTTCATGCACCTACCGTAGAGGGATACAGCAAATCTTAAAGTTGCACTCTCCTTCCCAGAGCACAAGAATATCTTGTATGACATTTGGGAACTACCCGAGCATCAACCCCTGTATAAAAATTTTGTTGCAGCTACACTTAAAATTTCTCGTTGGATTATGACTAGCAGTCGTAACCCCATCCCGTGACAAACACTTAAATTACAAGTTATATAAATGGCAAATTGGGAGGGTGTGTTGGTGAAGATGGACTTAACTGCCCAGTTGCAACAGAAACCTCCCTTTTATAATCATAAAAAGGTATTGCATGTTGTAACTCAATATGCAGGTGTGTTCAAAGATATAGCATGGAAACAACCACTAAAGTCAAATAAATTCAGTAAAACAAACAAAGACCCCAAAGACCCTAACAAGGAATAACTTATAACCAGAGATATACACAAAGTGGACAAACACATATTATTTGAAACTAAAAATAACATGCAAGCCACTGGGCATTAAGAAATACAGTACACACTCATTTCTAAACACGTATATGCTTCTTGAAATCCCATAAAATTAGAACTTCAAAAAATCTAATAAAAATAATAATAAAATGCAACAAGGATGAACAAATCCACAAGGGCCGTGACGAGGATTCGATCCTGCGTCCGAGATCATCCCAGATGCTGCCTTCATCGACTGAGCTACGACATGGTCAAAAAAGAGTTGAAATTGAAGTTCCACTGAACTTACTGGATCCTGCAGCCTCTGCCGAGACACAAACCAGGGTTTTACACAACTCCCCCCATGCATAAGGGAGAATGAGATCCAAGAGGGTGTAGAGGCCAACTATCCACAACTTCAAGAGTAGGTATGAGAAAGCAATAAAATACAGAAATGTTGCACCAGACAAGATAAATGGGGGACCCATGAGATGGAACTCAGTCACATGCAAATAGATAAATACAAATTATTTAGAGAAATACATAGAAGTTTAGAATAATACCGGGTCTACAAATTAGCCCTGATGATGGGCTTCATTTAACAGTCCATTAATATCAAATTACCTTTCTTCCTTTTTGGCCAGCTGACCTCTCATTTGTTGGCGTTCCGTGTCAAAATCTGCAAGCTGTTTCTCTAATTCAGCCTCCATTTGTAGTGACTTTTTACTCTCTTCCTCCAAGCCTTCAGCCATTGAATCAATTCTACCCTTCTCTTCAGATAAAATCTGTAACCATTTCGATATGATAGGAAAAAATTACTATGGTTTATCAATTATATACCTGATGTTTTGACATTTTATTAATTGATGAAACTTTATAAGTAACATTCATATTTTATATACTGTATATATATATATATATATTTCATTGAATATGACCGCATATTCTGTATTTATTATTTTCTGGTTTAGGGCTTCTATCCCTCTAACTATTTTCTTAGCATCAGGGCTTAATTGAAATAGGAGTTCTCCAAAACTCATTTTCATACTTTTAAGGTGAAGAAAAGAAGTGAATTACTATAGAGTGTATTACACTTATTTGTATAATTTGCACGACGTTTCGAACCTCCATGGTTCATTCTCAAGTGAACAGATCTTTACAATACTAGTTGATTTTATTCCCACATTAGGTCAGGTGATAATACAATGAAGGTGAAAACACGGGGGGATACATAAGGGATAAACATAGGGGCTGCAGAAGGCTTATTGGCCCATACGAGGCATCTCCTATCTAAACACAAAGATTAATCCGGTGTAATTGGCCTGTTATGTTGGACATTGTCTTCTGTGTTGGCATCGATATGTTCTTCTCTTGTCCTTACTCTCATGGTGGGTAGAGTAAATAGTTCCGTGATTTGGGTGTTCATGGTAGGTCGCTCTATTCTTATGTGAATTGCCTCAAGAATTTGTAATCTTCTTGAATCTTGGGTTTTGTCTATTATGCAAGTATTCTTGTTCAACATTTCTCTTGTTAGAGTAATGTCATGGGCTTGTCTCATGTGATTCCTAGGGGCACCAGATTGAAGATGGCATGTCAAACGCCTCGTCAGCTTGGTCGACGTCATACCTATGTACTTACATTGAAGGTTACATCCTTCGTGGGGGCAAGTGTACATGTATACAACGCTTGACTGCTGTAGAGGGTTCTCCGTCGGCTTCGGGCTGTTTTTGATAAGGAGTTCGGAAGTCTTCTTGGTTTTGTAGAATATTATCAGGTTAACCTGATAATATTCTACAAAACCAAGAAGACTTCCGAACTCCTTATCAAAAACAGCCCGAAGCCGACGGAGAACCCTCTACAGCAGTCAAGCGTTGTATACATGTACACTTGCCCCCACGAAGGATGAAACCTTCAATGTAAGTACATAGGTATGACGTCGACCAAGCTGACGAGGCGTTTGACATGCCATCTTCAATCTGGTGCCCCTAGGAATCACATGAGACAAGCCCATGACATTACTCTAACAAGAGAAATGTTGAACAAGAATACTTGCATAATAGACAAAACCCAAGATTCAAGAAGATTACAAATTCTTGAGGCAATTCACATAAGAATAGAGCGACCTACCATGAACACCCAAATCACGGAACTATTTACTCTACCCACCATGAGAGTAAGGACAAGACAAGAACATATCGATGCCAACACAGAAGACAATGTCCAACATAACAGGCCAATTACACCGGATTAATCTTTGTGTTTAGATAGGAGATGCCTCGTATGGGCCAATAAGCCTTCTGCAGCCCCTATGTTTATCCCTTATGTATCCCCCCGTGTTTTCACCTTCATTGTATTATCACCTGACCTAATGTGGGAATAAAATCAACTAGTATTGTAAAGATCTGTTCACTTGAGAATGAACCATGGAGGTTCGAAACGTCGTGCAAATTATACAAATAAGTGTAATACACTCTATAGTAATTCACTTCTTTTCTTCACCTTAAAAGTATGAAAATGAGTTTTGGAGAACTCCTATTTCAATTAAGCCCTGATGCTAAGAAAATAGTTAGAGGGATAGAAGCCCTAAACCAGAAAATAATAAATACAGAATATGCGGTCATATTCAATGAAACATGTTTGAAAGAAAACCTGCTGCCAGTATACACCAATATATATATATATATACATATACACATACACACACACACACAGTATACAGTGGTACCTCCATATACTTATTTAATCTGTTCCCAGAGACGGCTCATAACTCGAAATGAATTTTCTAATCAGAAATAATGTAAATTGAATTAATCCGCTCCACACTCCCAAAAATATTAACTTCAAAATACATTTCATACATAATACACACACACATTTTGTACTGTAGTATGTACACGTTATAGCTTACCTTTATTGATGATTTGTTGGCGTATGGCAGACAGTAAGGACGGGGGTGAGGAGGAGAGGTGTTACTGTTTGGAAGGGGAGTCCCATTCCATTATAACATCAGGCAGTGATGACTTCTCTGGAGTACTCTCTCTTCTACGTTTTGCAGGCATACAACTAGGACCTGGTTGTGGCTCACTGCTTGCTTCTCTTACTAAAAATCTGTCTAAAGACACTTGTTTTTCCCTTCATTTTAACACTTGTCTGTAGAGAGACATCACATTGTCGGCGATGAGTCACAATAACGTGGCTGAAGTATGTTGACCAGACCACACACTAGAAATTGAAGGGACGACGACGTTTCGGTCCGTCCTGGACCATTCTCATCGACTTGAGAATGGTCCAGGACGGACCGAAACGTCGTCGTCCCTTCAATTTCTAGTGTGTGGTCTGGTCAACATCACATTGTCATTTAAAAGATCAATGCAACGGCCTGCTACAGCTTTATCTGGGCGAGTGTTTTCAACAAAACTTTGCAGTTCTTCCCCTTCATACATTTTCTTAATGAGGAAGGAATATCCTCAACTGCCTCTACTCACAACTATATTCTTAGGTTGAACCTTACCACTGACTTTCTTGGGACCCATGGTGTGATATACAATAATTACTTTTATGTTCAAAAAGCAAAAAAGCACAAAAACAATGAAATTCTTTATAAAAGAATTCAAGCACGATTGTCACTAAGCAGGTGGCTCTGGTAAACCTCGCGTTAGGAATGCCCCTATTTATGAATTTTTCGGATTACGAGCTCAATTTCTGCACAAAATTAAATTCGGTTTACGAGCTTTGCCCCGAATTGCGAGTTTGTTGATACACTTATGGGTCGACCGAGCGCGTGATTCCGGGTGGAATGGGCGACCGCACCTTTGTTTAACTGTGCTTCCCATGCAGTGATGACAGCACTTGAATTCTTCGTAAAGAATTTCAATGCTTTACAGCTTTTTTAGTTTCTAAACATAAAGGTAATTAATATATACCATGCCATGGGCCCCCAAGAAAGTCAGTGGTAAGGTTCAACCTATGAAAACACATGAGGATGACCACAGATGAAAACAAGTCTCTATGGAAAGGTTCTTAGTGAGAAACAAGCAGTGAGTGAGCCACAACCAGTTCCTAGTGTTATGCAGGCAAAAGGTAGAAGAGAGTGTACCCCAGAGAAGTCATCACTGCCTGATATTATAATGGAAGGGGACTTCCCTTCCAAACAATAACACCTCTCCTCCCCCCCCCCCCCCCCCCTCCTTATTGTCTTCCATATGCCATCAAGTCATTAATTAAGGTAAGCTATAACGTGTACATACATAATATACACACATTTTGTATTATAGTATGTAATGTACTTTGAAGCTAATATTTTTGGGAGTGTGAAAAATTAATTCAATATACATTACTTCTTATGGGAAAATTAGTTTCGGGTTACGATTTCTCAGGTTACGAGCCGTCTCTGGGAACAGATTACATTTGGTAAATAAGGTCCTGTACTACTGTACTTTCAGTAATTCCTTTTATAAAATGTTAAACATCAAAAGAAACACTGAAATGAAACTTAATCCTCAATCAATGCCATCATGAGAAAAATGTAATAATCTCTATTTTGCTTGTACATCTTTGTCAACAATCATTGCCTAAAGTCCAATAATATAGCAAATGTTACCAAGTACCTGAGCCAAGTCCTCAGATCGTTTTCTTTCTTCAACATATTGCAGCGCCAATCTCTTCCGCTCTTCGACCAACATAAGGATTATCTGCTTCTGCCTTCCTCGCTCCTCCTCAAGTGTTTCTTGTACTTTACGAAGCTCCTTTTCTGCTTTTTTCTTAGCTGCTCTCTCAGATTCCAGTTCCTGTTTAAGAGTGTTTACACACCTATCAAGAACACATAGTCAAAAGACAATTATTTATTTTTAAATGTATGATAACCTGTGATATATTTTTGATAACTTTTTTATTTTTAAAAGCCCAAAATATTATATTGTACTGTAGTTATATGAATATTATTTTTAAGCTTATGCGTATCACGACTAATTTAATGAATATATAATACGTACTATAGTATATGGCCCAGATGAAAAATTTACACGAAATATCAGTACTCCGTACCTCTCCCTCATGGATACCAATACAGTACAGCAATTGCAATTTCAGAATTATTTTTAAATACATGGATGGTGAGGTATGTACTAATGAAATTGTTCATGACCTTTGTTAGACCAAAGCTGGAATATGCAGTGGTTGTATGGTGCCCATATTTTAAGAAGCACCTCGACAAACTGGAAAAAGTGTAAAGACACGCAACTAAATGGCTCCCAGAACTAAAGGACAAGAGCTACGAGGAGAGGTTAGAGGCATTAAATATGGCAAAACTAGAAGATAGAAGAAAAAGAGGCGATATGATCACTACGTAGAAAATAGTAACGAGAATCGATAAAACTGATAAAGTAGAATTCCTTAGATCTGTTAACTTCACAAACAAGAGGTCATAGATTTAAACTAAACAAATCTGCGGAAGAAATATAAGAAAATTCACTTTCGCAAAGAGAGTGGTAGACGATTAAAACAAGCTAGGCGAGAAGGTCGCAGAGGCTAAAACCATCAATAGTTTCAAAGCTCTATACGACAGAGCACTGGGAAGACGGGACATGACAAGCGTTGCTCTCATTCTGTAACTACACTTAGGTAATTACAAAGAATAAAAACCAAGGCAGAGCCAGCCACCAAGGGGCCAGAAGGATCAACCTGCCAATGTCTGCAGCCTGGAAAGGACGGGAAAAGGAATCCAAACCGGAGGGAAAAGAAAATCCAACTGACTTTACTCCAGCTGAAAGATATCTACTGCAAAGGCCTCACAGTTTGGGACTTCTCTCTCTCTCTCCACTGTCTAGTCCCCCATGTTAATTCCAGTCATTGTCCCTTCTTTCTTGACATCATTTCATTTTTGTCATCTCATTAGTTGTCTCGTGCCTTTTTTTGCCCTGGCCTAATAATTTACCTCCTGAGCCTTCATGGTCTCTGGATCAGGTGCTTGTTTATGTATCTTCCTTCATTTCTCTATCCCCTTTGGTTCTACATACAGATACTCTTTTTTTCTTTTTTTTTTGCCTCACCCAAACAAAATTATTGTTATCATGTTGGGAAGCTTCATACTCTTCTCACAAAACAACGATTTGTTCCGTTAATCCTAGGGTCATCTTTCATCTTCAGCCATCTCCATGCTTCCTGGTTATGAATTAGAAGGCTGGTTTCTGGAGGTGTCCTTTAGTCCTGACAATTTGTTTCTCCAGGCGAGGATTCATCACATTCTTTATCTGGTTGCAGCAGTCTGCCTTTACTTGCATGCCACTCAGGATGCCTTGGGGAATGCTTTGTTGTCAACATGGTGCGTCTGATTCCCTGTTCCAGAGCCCAGTCGTCTCGGGTTATCAATTGGGTTGTTCAGTTCAGCCAGCCTGCAGCCAATCCGCAGAACAATGATATCCACAGGTTCTTTGCTAATATATCCTTGACAGATATGCAGGCTCGTGGTTTTGGGGAGGGGAGGGTCTAATTGAATGCTGGCAGCTCGGTATTTGGCGAATATTTCTCGGCAGTGCTGGACTTGAATGGCATTGGGTCACATGACCCAGTGCCGATCCCCTTTGAGGTTTCTTACAACTCCTTCCCACTTTCCACAGCGTGACCATTTTTGTTCTCTATGGTGAATTGGCTCAAGAAGCCACTGAAGGGACCCTTTACATGCAATGCTGGATTTCTGGAAAGAAACTTCTCTTTGTACCTGGAATGTACCGGCATGATATTGTGAGGTCTACTCCCCAAGTGACATGTGAAAGCTTAGTCCAACAGGCTGTTGTTTGGAGCAGCCTGCAGGACCACATATCCACTACAGCCTAGTTGGTTTGGCATTTCTTGTAGAAAAGTGCTCAATATTTTTCTCAGACTTCCGCTTTTGTTCCAGCAATATTTATTATATTTGCTGGAAGGATATTGAACAACTGTGGACCTTTGATGTTCACAGTGTTTATCTGATGAGTTGCTTATGGCAACTCAACTCTTCACTGGCTCTATTCTCCATTTCCTTCTTTCTAATGGGTCCCTGGCAGTGGCTCCCAATTCCTGTTCTTCCCTTCTTTTCGTGGTCCTCGAGGTTTACTTTGGCCGCACATGTACAATTGGGGCAGCTGGCTGGGACCCCCTCAGTCACCAGGGCTACTATCTACTGGTGAACGAGTGTTGCTAACCAGTAGACGAATCTGCACAGTGTGTACGTAACTTGCTTCAGAGTTACCAATGTTTTTCGATGCAATTGCTTGTTTTGGTATGCTCTACCTATTCAGGTGTTTTTACTTTCATTCTGGGCTGACCTTTTATCCCTAGACTCCCTTTGCCTTTATTGAGGGGAAGGCCAGATTTTAGTCCTAGTCCATGGTAGGCACTTGTGACTCATAGGGGCCTGGTAGGATGCTTTACATCTTGAACTATCCAAGTGGGTAGCTCAGGTAGCCACTGAGGGGCACACCAGAAAATGGCTTTCCATGTTGACCAGACCACACACTAGAAAGTGAAGGGACGGACCGAAACATCATCGTCCCTTTACTTTCTAGTGTGTGGTCTGGTCAACATACTTCAGCCACGTTATTGTGACTCATCGTCTGAATATGGCTTTTCATTATATTCAATGCTGGATAGTTTTGTTTATTCCAGATACCTGTGTAATTCCAGTAAACACACTATTGTACAGTGCTCCCTTAAAAATTGACTGCAATGTAATGGATCCCTCTAAACAACAACAAAAATCCACCTACCATATTTCTCCTCTGTAATTTGGATTTCTTGAGACAAGAAATCCAGATTATAGACAGGAACACAGTAAAATCCAGATTATCAGTTCACCATGTAAAGTAATTTAACAAAAATTGGATCTTTTTCTTCTAATTCTTGCCAAGCTTGCCATTTTATTTGTAAATATTGAAAATAATGTACTAATAAATTTTACAAATGCATTTGTTTATGTAGCATTTCATGAGGAATACATACTGAAGGCCTGAAGGCCTGTAAGGGCACAGATACTAATTGTATATTTGTCCGGTGTACAGTAAGTGTAGCGAGTGTACATCAGAAAAGGGTAACTTCTTTACCACAGATAAGGCAGCAGCGGATCAGAGAAACAGACTGCGGCTCGGGAGCCAAGTGGCTGATAGAAGGGAATAGTAGTGGTACAAGTGTTGTTCCTGGCATAAAACAGCAAAGAAAGCAGATGACAGTTTGTAAATAAATTGGTGAGCAGGGATGAAATGACAAATGACAAAAATATTGAAATCTTTTAAGTATGAGGATTTGGACGATGCTGTTTGCCCATGGCATTTGCAGTACTGTAATCCTTTGGTCGTCTGTTGGTGGTGCACTGTTACAACCACAGGCTAAAATAATGCTATTCTATATAAATACACACATAATAAACAGGAATACAGTACTGTGTAACAGATAACATAGCTCAACATTTATAATTATGATTCGTGAACAAATATAAAAAGGAGTACGAGTCACAGCAGTAACTGATAAACTATGTAACAAAACATAAGCAACAAAAGTAACAAAGCAGCACTGCAATTAAGCCTCTCAATGTCTTAGTTATTACTAATTCCTAATTTTTTGTTATTTATGCTATGCTTTGAACAATGTGATTGTTCAGATTTTTCGTACCTTGACTTCTCATTGCCATTGGTATACTGTTTGTTTTTTTTAATTAGAAAAATCAACCAACAATACAGGAATAATTTCTATGATCACTTAGCTTTGAGCATTTCATGCGAAAAGAAGTTGATACAGGATAATTAGAACAAAAAATCAACTTGATAAGAGTACTATACAAAATTTATACAAACATTGCTAGTTACTAGCAACTGGGGGGCCTAACAGCCGAGACGACAGCGCTTCGGATTCATAGTCCTGAGGTTCCGGGTTTGATCCCCGGTAGAGGCGGAAACAAATAGACAGTTTCTTTCACCCTGATGCACCTGTTATCTAGCAGTAAATAGGTACCTAGGAGTTAGACAGTTGATATGGGCTGCTTCCTGGGGGGGGGGAGGGGGTGTAACAAAAAGGAGGCCTGATCGAGGACCGGGCTGCGGGGATGCTAAGTCCCGAAATCCTCTCAAGATAAGATACTACTGACAAGACAATGTATTTAGTAAGAATAGTCCCTGGTGTGTGGGAAAAAATTTCAAAATTCGTAATTTCTTTCTAATATTGATACAAGTGTATGGCTTTTACAAGTGCAATGATGTATTGGGCCATCAATAATGATATTTGTATCACAGAACTTGTAGAACGTGTATGCACATATAGTTGTATCACTAATATGGACACAACATTATATTTTTTGAACGATAAAACGTACTATTTTTGCTCTTATTAAATTTGTATACATTGTATACAAACATTATATAGTATATATCTATGTTCATTTTTATGCACCATAACAAACCACTAAGCAGTTCTGGCGAGTATGGTAATTTCGTAATCCAATCACAGCATAGCACCACATGCGAGTCATTTGGCGACGGCACTTAACACAGCATAATGCCTCCCCACATACTACACACATTGCGAACAGTAGCCACAACACTGCTATTATCCGAATCCTGGTCACTAAATCCTGAATACACAAGTCATTCTCCACAAGTTTATTTTCTAAATTAACATCAGGTCCCATTTCATGAAGCGTAGCACATCAAACCACAGCTGTGTGCTGTGGAATTCGGTCTCGTGCTGTGAACATAATGCCCAGTACAGTATTGGGTTCATTGATATCCGAGCCTTGTACTGTACATCGTTTTTATCAGTCAGGATTTCCTATGACACTATCATCATTAAATAATTGCACTCACCTGTTTATTTCATCGTTATTAACACTTTCGCTGGCCTGGGGGCGACCTGCCACACACTGCATGATCGACCGAGCATTGTCCGTGAGCACACAACCTCACACTAATGTTTATACTCATTTCAGCTTTCTCACCTCATTCATGCTACATTGTTCAATTTGGTATCAAATTGTTCGCAATAGAATTCTGTAAGTGGATATTTGCATATAAGAACATACAAGTCTTACGCAGGCGATGAGTCACAATAACGTGGCTGAAGTATGTTGACCAGACCAAACACTAGAAATTGAAGGGACGACGACGTTTCGGTCCGTCCTGGACCATTCTCAAGTCGATTGTGCGACTTGAGAATGGTCCAGGACGGACCGAAACGTCGTCGTCCCTTCAATTTCTAGTGTGTGGTCTGGTCAACATACAAGTCTTACTTTTCTATACTTTCAACGAACACAATAACTTTTCCCTCGAACGTGTTCTTTCACTCCTTTTGTCATGGATTGGTTCTTTGTTTGATCAGTATCCATCTGGAAGTTAATTTGCCATGTTTATAAAGCTGGTAACAACAAACACCCAAGATAAAACAGCCACAATTTGGAAACTTTTTGACTCGAGGGGAGGCCGCAGCTGTCACGAGCGAGGTCACGTGAACAGTGAGCCTCCAGCGTGGGTGGGCACCACACGGCGGGGCCACGATGCTACGTGGGGTATACATAGAATGAGAAGACATTGCGCACATTTAAAAACAAATCCCATAGTATCCAGACAATACATGGAAATTTTACAAATTTTTAAATAAATGATGCCGTTTGGCCAGCGACAAATTTTGGTCACAATAGGGGCGAGGAAGTCTGGCTAAATTGAGGAGTTGACAGAGTAAGTGTCGGAGGCGGTCAGCTTCACCCGTGCTGTCAGGCAGGAGATGCCACAAAGATGATATTACCTAACTATTTCAATGTCTCTGATTTTTGTTTTCTTTCTTTTTTTTCAGTAATATTATTCAATAGTGTGTAGTGATATATATTTATATAATAAAATGTGTGAACCATCGCTATACTCAAAAGTATAATGTGCAGATTAGCGATTCAATTATGATGTTTATCAAACAATAAACAAATAGTTTTGATATTATTATACTATGTACACACATTATATTTAAGTATCTGCATGTTTTGTTCACCATAATGAACCACTAAGTTGGTATAGTAAGTCCAGACAATAACAGAGGTTGCCACAGTCAGCTGACACTCCCTCCCCTCCTCACCAACTTTCCTCCACCCCACCATACTCTTTATGATACTGTATTATTACACTGTATACACACATTATATATAAAGTATCTACATGTTTAGTTCATCATAACTGTGCAACTAAGCTGGTATGGTGTCCAAACAGCATAGTGGGCACCATATTCAGCATGACAAGTCACACACCAGCCAGCAGACGATGCTATCTCCCTCGCCAAAAATGGCTCCTCCAAACATACTTCTTTTGCTGTTGTTACACTAATACACACGTTATTTATAAATATCAACATTTGTGTTAACTATAGTGAACCGCTAAGCTGGTATGACGAGTCCAGACAGTAACAGGTTGCCACACAGTCAGCAGACGACGCCACCTCCCCCTCTCACCAAGATTACTCCTCCCACTATACCACGCATAGCACTAATTATCACCACAATCCTGCTATTATCAGAATCCTGGTCATTTTTATTACCGTCTTCTGTAATACTATCATCGCTAAATAATAGCAGTAACATATGTGTTTTGACATTTTTAGGTGATGCTGTGTTCAAAAGTTAAACAGCAGTGCTGTTAGTTCATGCTGTGTGCACCAGCCTTGGTTGCTCACGGAACACCAAGGCTCTCAAACCCGGGAATGTTCCTCACGGTGGTTTTTTAAAATGGTGTCTGTTTACTAGAGCCCTGAGAAAACTGATGTGAACCCCGTGTAACCCAGGGATATTAAAATTGTGTATGACACCCTCAATTGTACATATACAATTTGCTCAGTTTAAGGGTTAAGAAAATTTATCAAATGGATATTTAAGAGCCTAGACTGAGGTTAAAGGACACGTCATAAAAGTTCAAGAGTATTAAATGCTGAACAGCATAAAATTGTGTTCAAGCTGAGCAGCACAAGATGGGCTTGACCTCATGTTTGGAGACCCTATAGAGACCATCCCACTGCACTGGGAAAATGTCATATCTAAGAAATTATATAAATTGTCTTATTATAAAATAAATGAAACAAGAAATGCGCGAGGAATAAAAACTAGAGCACGAGGAAAACAAAATAATATAAAGTCCACAAAGCTGTAAACTAGAGCTAACTTGACAGGAGCTGATAATTTGATGATAATCAACTAGGGCCGACAGTAAAATGCTTGTCGACATTCCAGCATTTTCCAGTTGTCCGATTATGGGTTCTACAGGGTACTTCCAAAACGCAGAAACATATCCATAGCCTTCTACTAAAGAAACATCATTATTGAATTTTTCCCCCAAACATTTAACATGCAGCCAACACAAATAACTTTCTTGATCCACTATTACTGAACTCTTATAATAATTTAAAATACTATTGAAATTTTGGTCTACAAAACTACATGTATAGAATAAAGTTGTTTTCCAACCTTTATCATCCTCAACTCCGGCTGAAACAACAACCCAAACATTATCATTTCTTAATAGTAGTTATGCAGCATATCATATTAGAAGGTGAATGGCCAAGAATGGACTGACTGCCTCACACTCTGGTGCTATTCTTTAATCCAAAACACTCATGGAATCCAAGCATAAAAAAATGCCTAAATGACAGATCACTGCTACTTATGCTGTTTTAGAACTACTAAAAAAAAAAATCCACTTATTAAAAGATCAGGGGCCAGATTCACGAAAGAACTTACGCAAGCACTTACGAACGTGTACATCTTTCCTTAATCTTTGACGGCTTTGGTTACATTTATTAAACAGTTTACAAGCATGAAAACTTCCCATTCAACTGTTGTTATTGTTATAAACAGCCTCCTGGTGCTTCGGGGCTCATTAGCTGTTTAATAATTGGAAACAAAGCCGCCAAAGATTGAGAAAAGATGTACAGGTTCGTAAGTGCTTGCGTAAGTGCTTTCGTGAATCTGGCCCCAGAGCATCTTATCTTCCATTCTTGGCACCATGCTCTCTCCAACATCCAAGAGCTGCCATTAAAGCTTGCACAATACGAACACAGAAGGCAACGTTATAATTAGAAAATACTGTAAATTTAAACCAAAAAACCATGGCCAATAAAATAGCAAATTCAAATTATTTCCAACTTATGGATACAAAAATCTTGGATGCTGCCGAGTTCCAATGTTGTGTTTGACATTAACATATTATGAATTCAAAATTCTAGCATGTCTCTGGCCTAAACAATTTTAAAAATAATTTCCTAAAACAACAGGCTCTCAAAAAAGTAAATCCAATTAGCATAGCTTTCTTTTTTAACTACATAAAAATTAACAATTAGTATTGCCTTTAATTACAATTCAAATTTTACATACAAAGTATTGCTGACACACTATTTATTAATTCCAAATATATTACAGTAATTAATTCTGATAAAAGTTTTGATGTCAAGCTGAAAGTCTGCATATGCTAAAGAAAATTAATATTGTAACCAAAATATAAGATCGAAGTTGGTTACATAATTCACTAGCCATAATTAACCATAGAAGCACTTCCATAGAAGTATATATCATCTACTTATATTCAACTTATAACCAAACTGGAGGTCTGCTACATATGGTCTAGTAAACCCTCCAATTTTTGGCTTGTCTTGTACAGTACTTAAGTCTCTTCCAATTTGCTCCCTTGTGCTTACACATTAACATTCCTTTGACAACATCTGAACTTTTCCTTGAGAATTATTCCTGTTGATGTGACCACCAAGCCAAGAAGCACAATACTGTACTGTGCTACCGAGACTCCCATTAGGCTTCTCAACACTTACACGAGATGGGCTAACACCAAGAAAAAAAAAAGTTGATTTAACCGGTAATTGGATTACAAATTACAGTTTAGTGGCCTGACAAGTGACAGATTTTTCATTTTAGAGAGACAAGGCAAAGTCTATACAAATGAACAAATCTATACAAATGCAAGAGTGCACATGATACAACACATATATGCAAATTTACCAGATCTTTTTTATATACCCTGTAGGAGACAGACAGATTAAATAAATACCAGTAATTAAAATATTAATTGCTGTCCCCCCCAATTCAGAAGCAAAAAATATACAGAAAAGGGGTATCAACTAAAATTTATGAGACTGTGAACAAATAAATTGCACAATCGGAACACAAACACGAACATTACAGCATGTGGTGGAGAGGCATCAGCTCGAAATAATAAAAACACCATGATAAAAAATAACATTGGGCTATGATAGTAAAATGGCTGCTGCCCATTCCATTATAGATCAGCATCGTTAATTTTGATGCGTTTCACACAGAAGCTCCATGCAAAATTACATCCTGGCATTAAGGTGTCTACAAGCATTACAAGACATCTCAAGAAATTGAAACATTTTCATGAACTACTGGTACAGGTTTTGCTACATCAAAGAGGCAGTTGCTATCTGCATTCATAATAAAACCAAGAGTATGGAAAGAATGAAGATTATCTCTGAAAGCATATACAAGCCTTGGAAGATACTATCTTGTTTCTGATTTACATAAATGATCTTCCAGAAGAAATACTCAGTTCTCTCAATGTTTACTGATGCTGCTAAAATTATGAGATGGATCAAGACAGAGGAGCACAGCAAGAGACTACAAGATGATCTGGGCAGACTGAAGGAATGGTACAACAAATGGCTACTAGAGTTTAACTCAAGCAAGTGTAAAGTGAAGATAGATATAGCAGCAGGAGGCTAAACACAAGGTACCAATTGAGAGAAGAAATCCTTAAGGAATTAGGAAGAAAGATCTGGGAGTTGATATCACACCAGACCTGTCCCATCGAAGCCCACATGCAAAAGGGTATCATCAGCGGCATATGCAAGGCTGGCAAACATAATACACGTACAGTAGATGCATTCAGAAACTTGTGTAATGCCAGTGTTAGAGTAGTTTAGAACCTTGAATGCCAGTGTCAGAGTAGTTAGCCAATGGAATGCATTAGGTGGTGATGTGGTGGAGGCAGACTCCATACACAGTTTCAAATGTAGATATGATAAGAGCCCAACAGGTTCAGGAATCTGTACACCAGTTTAGAAGTGGGACCAAAGAGCTGAAGCTCAACCCCCACAAGCACAGCTAGGTGAGTACAACTAAGTGAGTACAGGTACCCAAGGACAAAACACAGAGCAAAGAAGACAGGAAAGTAGCAAGAAATTATACATCATTCATTATTTTACAGTACAGTGGAACCCTGGGTTATGAGCATCCCTGTTTACAAGTTTTTTGTGTTACGAGCCCGATTTGTTCGGAAAATTTGCACCAGGATACGAGCATTGCATCGGGTAACGAGTTTGTTGATACGCGTACGGGCCGACCTAGCGCATGGTGGCATGGCAATCGCGCCTCAGTTTACCAGTGCCTCACGCCCAGTGACTATCCTGCCTGAATTCTTCACAAGGATTTACAGCTTTTTGTCGGATATTTGGCCATTTGAGCATAAAAGTTGTTATTACATATCTCTCTGTGGGTCCCAAGAAAGCCAGTAGGCAAGAAATCGTTCAAGGTTCAAGGCAAGAAATCGCATGCGAGGATGACAATAGAGGAAAAACAAGAGATCATTCAGAAGCATGAAAATAGTACTCGTGTTGTTGAACTAGTTAGGCAGCACAACAAATCTTCAGGGGAGGAAGAGGAGGCAGCAGAGAATGTCCCTTCCTCATTAATTAAGAAAATGTGTGCAGGATGGGAAGAACTGCAAAGATTTGCTGAAAAGAATCACCCATATAAAGCTGTAGTAGGCCGTTACATTGATCTTTTTAATGACAATGTGATGCCTCGCTACAGACAAGTGTTGCAAAGAAGGGAAAACAATCTTCAATGGAACGTTTCCTTGTGAGAAAAGTGAGAAAATCAAACAGTTAGCCACAACCAGGACCTAGTGGTATGCAGGCAAAATGTGCCAGAGAGTGCACTCCAGAAAAATCTTCACTGCCTGATGTTATAATGGAAGGAGACTCCCCTTCCAATCAGTAACACCTCTCCTCACCAATTTCCATATGCCAACAGGAGTCATCAGCAAGGGTAAGTAATACCTTGAACATACTTTTGTAATGTAGATTTGCACGAGTTAGGAATAAAATTTAGTTTGAAGTGAGGTTTTTTGGGTAGTCAGGAATGGATTAATTTATTTCCCATTATTTTATATGGGGAAATTAGCTTTGGTTTACAAGTTGTCTCCAGGAACAGATTAAACTCTTAAACCGAGGTACCCCTGTACATCATTCCTTCACCCTGGGGAGGAAGGGGGGGGGAGAAAGGAAGAGGATTCACAGACTTAGTCTATAACAGACTATGCCAGAGACTCACAGGAGGATTCCTGGGGCCTGAAGGTAGCTAACCAAGTGGAAACCCTCAACACATGAGGCCACACTCCACAACTGTCACAACTGCAAGAAAAATGACAGGTTGGAAAACAAGAACCTTTCAAACAAGAAATGCTATACCAATGACTGCTTTTCAAGACTAGTGCTCTCTAGAGTATAATAGTAGTAGTAGTAGCATCAATCAGTCTCAGGAGACTGCGAGGTTGCGCTCTGGTTGTCGGTCTGGCGTGGCCTCTCCAGGGCGCAAAGTCAGGGTAGGTTGATATGGAGAAGCTGTTACCCAAGCAGTAGGTCCCCCTCTCCACAGCGCCGAAAGTCTTCAATGGAAAGGCAAATGCCAATACGATTGGTTCCAGCACCATCGCAGGAACTGAGAGTTCCGGAGTTGACCTCGAAGTTGGTGAAATAAGGCAGTGACAACAGTATTTTGCAACAGTATTTTGCAATACTGTTGCAAATTAACAGCCTCATTTAAGGCTGGAGAAATTGCAGACCTGCAGATGGTACAAAGATCTTTCACTGCTAGAATCCATTTAATAAAGCATTCAATTATTAGGACCAATTAATATGTTTAAATCTATATTCTCTAGAGTGCAGGCAGGAGAAATGCACAATAATTAAGATGGAAAACATTAGAGGGACTAGTTTCAAATCTTCACATGGAAATATCACTATTTGAGACCAGGAGGTATGGCAGGATGTGCAGAATACTACTGACAAACAGAGATGCAACAGGTAGGCTGAAAGACGACTCTAATCAACATCAAACATCCAAGACTGTTCAACACACTCCAACTACACATAAGGGGCATAACTAGCCAGCTTCTCATGGTGTTCAAAAGAGAACTCGATAAACACCTCCAAAGGATACCCAATCAACCAGGCATCGATTCAATCGTCAGGCTGCGAGCAGCCGCATCCAACAGCCTGGTTGACCAGACCACCAACCAGGCGGCCTGGTCAGAAACCAGGCCACAGGGATGTTGATCCTTGGTAGGACTTTCTGGAGGCTTTTATCAATAGAGTAGCAGTGTGTCACCCACTCCCCGCACCTCTGTGGGGAGCCAGGTTCTGGCTCTGGTCCCCAGTAGACAAAACCAAACTTCTGCA